TGGAATAAATCTACAGGGGATCAACTGCCCCCATAGTGATTCATAAAGAAAACAACACAATACCAATAAAGAAAGGGGTAAGGCAGGGGGCCACAATCTTCCCATTGCAATTTATCGCTTGCTTACAGGAGGTTTTCAGAAGCCTAGAATGGGAACAGTTAGAGATAAGAGTTACTGGAGAGTACCTTAGTAACCTGCGCTTCGCCGATTACATTGCATTGTTGAGTAACTCAGGGGAAGAATTGCAACTCATGATTACGGAGTTAGACAAGGAGAGCAGAAAGATGGGTCTGAAAATTAATCTGCAGAAAACAAAAGTACTGTGCAACAACCTCGGAAAAGAGCAGCCCTTCGAGATAGGTAATAGTGCACTTCAAGTTGTAAAAGACTATGTCTAGTTAGGGCAGGTAATAGCCCCGGAGCCAAATCACGAGATTGTAGTAACTAGAACAATGAAAATGGGGTGGAGCACATTTGGCAAGCACTCTCAAATTATGACAGGTAGATTGCCACTATCCCTGAAGAGGAAGGTATATAACAGCTGTAACTTGTCGGTACTTAGCTACGGAGCAGAAACCTGGAGACTTACAAACAGGGTTCAGCTTAAATTGAGGACGACGCCGCGAGCAATGGAAAGAAAAATGGTAGGTGTAACCTTAAGAGACAAGAAGAGAGCACAGTGGATTAGGAAACAAACGGGAGTTAAGGATATCATACTTGAAATCAAGAAGAGGAAATGGACATGCGCCGGGAATATAGCGCGTAGACAGGATAACCGCTGGTCATTAAGGGTAACTGACTGGATTCGCAGAGAAGGCAAGCGGGTTAGGGGGAGTCAGAAGGTTAGTTGGGCAGGTTAGGTTAAGAAGTTTGCGGGTATGAATTGGCAGCAGCAAGCACAGGACCGGGTTAACTGGCAGAACGTGGGAGAGGCCTTTGTCCTGCAGTGGACGTAGTCAGGCTGATGATGATGATGATGGCACATGTCCTTGCGACACCAATCCAGGGGCTCGCTCCTCTATACGCGCTGAATGAATAGCCACCTCACTTTGCGTTGTGATTACGTCGGGAACAGGCGGAGTGGCGGAGACGCGCAGTGGGGTGCAGCCCACGCTTCTGGCGTGTTTCCTTGGGAAGTACCCACGGGAGCTTGATGGCACATCGGTGACCTCCAGGGCTGTACTATCCAAGTTATCTTGCTCACGGCTATCATGAGTGCTAGACACTTGGACAGCAGTAAAGTGTCGCAAGCATCTAAAAGAGTTAAAAAACCCTCATCAGTATCGCACATTATTTTTTCCATGATCGTTGAGTGATGTCATCGTAGGCATGCCTTGCTGTGAATACAACATCCGAACAAATTCTACTTCCCCAGAACACCACGGTGGCCTGCGTGACGGATCCCGAGCCTGCGTGCGTCCTGCTACTTCATGCCGTCTCCTCCAATGACAGCCCTAGGGGTGAGCTTGCTTCTTCTTCCACCTTTACTGCAGCCATTAGCGACGACTTGACACCTTCACAGACGCAACAGTTACTTGCTTTTTTAAGGAAACACACAAGTTTCTTCGATGTTTACACCTCGACGTTGGGCCGCACTACTACTATAACGCATCGAATCCACACAGTCGGAACATCTGTTGTACGCCGCCGGCCCTACCGCGTGCCTCCTGCTGAGAGAAAAATCATCAAAGAAACTGTAGCTGACATGCTCAAACGAGAGGTAATTCGCCCTTCTTCTAGCCCTTGGTCGTCGCCTGTGGTTCTGGTTCGCAAGAAGGATGGCTCCGTGCGCTTTTGCGTCGATTACAGGGCGCTCAACAAGATCACTCGCAAGGATCTGTACCCAACGCCTCGCATTGATGACGCCCTTAATTCTCTACAAGGCGCGAAATACTTTTCCTGCCTCGACCTGCGTTCCGGGTACTGGCAAATTCCTATGAACGAAGAAGATAAAGAGAAAATGGCAATCGCAACCTTCAATGGGCTATATGATTTCAACGTTGTGCCTTTCGGGCTGTGCAACGCGCCCGCTATATTTGAGCGCACGATCGATACCGTGCCGCGCGGCCTTAAATAGAAGACCTGTCTCTGCTACTTGGACGACATCGTCATTTTTGCGTCAACGTTTCCTCAGCACCTACAACGTTTGGATGACGTTCTGACGTGCCTTGCCGCCACTGGTCTCCATATCAACACTAAAAAATGCCGTTTCGCCACAAAAGCTATCAAGGTTTTGGGCCACATTGTGAGCAAAGACGGAATTTTGCCAGATCCGGACAAAATTGCTGCGGTGCTTCGCTTTCCGCGCCCCGAAAGGCCGAAGGAGTTGCGAAGTTTTCCTTGCCTCGCCTCCTATTTTCGCCGTTTTACACGAAACGTCGCATCAATAGCGGCTCCAATGCACCAGCTTCTTGCTTCTGAAGTGCCCTTTCTGTGGCTGGAAGAATGTCAAACTGCATACGACCTGTTAAAGTGTGCCCTCACGTCCGAACCTGTACTCCGCCACTTTGATGAGGCCGCACCGACATCCCCACATACGGACGCTAGTGGCCGCGGTATAGTTGCCGTTCTGCTCCAACGCGACACCTCTTCACAAGAGAGAGTAGTTGCGTATGCCACTAGAGTATTAACCGCGACCGAGAAGAACTATACCATAACTGAGTAGGAGTGCTTGGCTGTGGTCTGGGCAGTGCAAATGTTCCGTCCCTACCTCCACGGACGTCATTTCACGATCGTTACCGACCACCACGCCCTATGCTGGCTTTCCACGTTGAAGAACTTGTCTGGACGCTTGGGTCGGTGGATTCTACGTGTACAGGAGAATGACTTCGATATCCTTACAAGTCAGGTAGAAAGCATCAACACGCTGACGCTTTTTCCCGCTGCCCGCAACCAAATACCCAGCTCAGCATCGGCCAAAGTTCATCCATCACTTCTACTGCAGCGCCTGCGCTCGCCTCAATAGACCAGCTATTCTCGGATGACAAGCGCACATTTCACTCCTGCCAGTTGTATGATCCGTACTGTAAGCTTATCATGGACCAGCTCTCAGGAGCTTCTAATCCACCTAACGGGCGACATCGTCGTCAACTCTTGCGAGTTAAGCTGAAGAATGTAGTTCTGTACCATCACATCTATATACCACCCAAATGGTAAACGCTGGGTTCCCGTGCTACAACGCTCTCTTCGACTTGACGTGCTTAAAGCCTTTCACGACGACTTGACTGCCGGACATTTTGGTATTCAAAAAACTTACGACCACATCCGAAGTCGCTTCTACTGGCCTGGTAGCATTGCGCGCTACATCGGTTCCTGTGTCCCGTGCCAGCGTCGTAAAATCCAGACATTTGCACCGGCCGGGCCTCTGCAGCCAATTCCGTCACCCACAACGCCATTTGAGGTTTAGGTATCGACCTTTACGGCCCTCTTCCCATCACATCTACTGGCAAACGATGGATAGTGACTGAAGTAGACCACTTGACACGCTACGCGGAGACAACGTCTGTATCAACTGCTTCTGCTTCGGAAGTTGCGGACTTTGTTCTGCACGCCATCATTCTGCGCCATGGCGCCCCTCGTATATTGTTGAGTGGCCATGGAAGGGTGTTGTTGTCAGAAGTGCTAAATGAAGTATTGCGCGCCTCTGGAATAACACACAAGACAGCTTCCAGCTAGCACCCTCAAACACATGGCCTCACCGTGAGGTTTCACCGTACTCTTGCTGATATGATAGCCGCCTACACCAGTCCAGACCACAAAAACTGGGATACTCTTCTGCCATTCCTCACCTTTGCCTACCACACGGCCGTTCAGTGCACCACCGGATATTCGCCGTTCTACCTCGCTTATAGACGTTCCCCTACTTTCTTCCTCGACGTTTCCTGTTTCAACACTGACGTCAACTCGTCTCTGTCTACCAGGGAGGAATACATTTCAAGACTAGTCCGGTGTCGCGATCGTGCTCGCATCAACACGGAAGCGCGACAGCAAGATTGAAAAGTCATTTATGACGCATCTCATCACCTGTATTCTTCCGACCTGGTGACGAGGTGCTCCTATTCACACCTATTTGTACACCTGGTCTGTGTGACAAGTTTCAGCCACACTTCATCGGGCCTTACATAGTTATCGAGCAGACTTCACCTGTTAATTATCGGGTGACCCCACTTGTCGCCCCAACAGACCGCCGTCACCGCAACACAGAGATTGTGCACGTGTCTCGCATGAAGCCTTTCAGGGGACGTTCTCTGTCACATTGACTTTCCATGGCCAGGTGCCGTTTCTATGGGGGGGGGGGGAGGGGTAATTAGTGTGGGCATTTGTCATGCGCTTCTTTTCATATATGCATTATTATAATCATCGTCATCCGCATGGGTCTCTGTCCTCATCTTCACTGGGGGTCACCACAATCATCATCGTGTGTGTGCACGCTCGGTCTGAGACTGCCCGTTCGCTGCTGAGCCCTTGGGCTGAATAAACGCTGTCTCAACCCATACGTCATAATATATATATATATATATATATATATATATATATAAATATATATATATATATATATATATATATATATATATATATATGCGCGCGCGGGCGCGCGTGTTTTTTGTGTTTGTTTGTGTGTGTGTTTTAATATTTATACACCTCATGATTTCTGAAGCTGGTGTCGTATTGGGATATATTTTTCACCTAATCAATAATTATTTAGCCGTAATATTAGACGAAAAAAAAAACGAATATTCGCAATAAGAAACTATTGGTATGGTTTCTTTTTCAGAATACAAATGAGTTCATGGGCCCCCAATTAGTTGGTGTTTAGCCACACTTTGGAAGGCCCGTCGGCATCATCCTAGATATGTAGCTGTCATAGTGGGTTGGTTACAGCCGCAGAATCTAAGCTCGAATATTTACTATGTGTTGGGTTTACGCCGGAGATTCAAGGAACTTGACTTGGCTTTTGTGTTTGCTTTTTTTTCGTAGATAGATAAGAGTCTGTGTCTTACCAATCCAGTACTCATCAGCTGGGTTTCCGAAACCATTGGCGTACTCAGTCCAGTTCCGGTAAAAGTAGTAAGCATTGTGTCCGTATTGCCCACGGCGTTGAATGACCTGTTGTAGAGGAAAAAGCCCGAAAACATAAAGTACGCTCAAATTATGCCATGGTACTTAGGCATCAATAATAATGACGATGACAATTAGGAGTTAATTGAATGAGTTGAATAAACAATTATATTTCAGAAGAATACAATGGAGCTAAAACAGGTTGTATTTTAGGTGAAAGCTTTCACAATACTTGAAACATCGGGCCTTCACCACTGTTTTGTCCCTCGTGTCAGCTTACATTCCGTTGGTATGTTTCACACCGCCTTTTCTATTGTGGCACATTTATCATTTCCAAGATAAAAAGAACTTCTTCATCCTTGAACTCGGATGATTAAACGTGTGTTAATTTTTAAGGGAACATATATTGTACTATAACAGAAGGCTGTTTGTAAATATTGCGTGGCGACTGATTACGAGGTGTATTAATATTGCGTGGCGACTGATTGCGAGGAAGTTAGTTGGCCTTCCACGAAGGATTTCAAAAAGGGGGTGGTTTCAATGTTTTTAGCGATCATCGTAACGCAACTTAACGAATAGTTATGTAATCACGCTATCAACCTAGGTATGGAATAGCGAGAAAGGTTGTTTAGAGCGAAAGGTTGTTTAGGGCGACATTTTACAGCGAAGCTGCTTTGAGAGGGGAAGGGGTATGCTCACTGCAGCCGACTGTACACCACCACGGCTGTCGTTACTGGTGTTCGTCCCACTTATAGAACACATAAAGCAACACAAAATGCTTCAAGGTAGATTTGAACTGACGCTTGCGCGGAGAGAGGGTTCATTAACACAGGGTCACCAATGTTCTTAGTTCTTTTTTTTTTTTTGAAGGAGAGCCTACGTAAAAAGTGAGGGAGTGAGGTCATCGTGGCTTCATGATTGCAATCGAGTAGGAAAAACGAGAACACAAAAAAAACATGATCAAGTGTTTGGTACTAATTTTTCTTGCTGTGTCATTATTTTTATGCTATTTTGTAGTTATGAAACTCTACGTAGTATTGAGAGATAGCCAGGAAACACGGAGAAGAGTAGAATTACACCAGGCCTCGTAATGTGTTAAACTGAGCAACCAGCGGGCCGTTTAAGATTTTTCTTCCCATCCGAAAGTGGTCCGCAATAACTCTTTGTCCTCTTTTCATCATCTAACACATCAACAATGAAGGGTTAACTGGAGACTTTATCTAAGTTTTGCCTTACGAACACGTAGTGTGTGCCTCTAATTGGTGAAAACGATTGCGTTTTAACCTGAAAGTGGTTTATGGTGGGGCCCACCAAGGCTCCGCTGGCGTATTTCTGTCACGGATATAACATTGTGAAATATTGTCACAGGAATCACGATTGCACGGGAGACATAAGCGAGTATATATTTAAAATATTCACAAGTGTCTGTGCCACCTATGGGCTGCCAGCATCTCGTGCGCCAAGGCAGCATACGCAGTAACATGCGTTTTTAATAACTTCGCACAACTAATGAGCTCGCTCAAGTCGCATGCTGCACTGTAAAGATATCAACAATTTTACACAGCTGAATAAATGCTATTGTGATGAGATCGCGCTGAAAGAAATATATTTGGCATATTTGAATCGTAGGAATTGCTCTTTTTTGTGCTAGGTTGTGCTTTTCGTCTGCTAACACGCTTACGAAGTAATTCTTTCTAAACCACAACTTATGTCACACAGACAGCTGGTTATGAAGGCGCGGAAACAGACTCAGAATGGTCCTACTTCGTCAGAATTATTTACGGGCTCTTGAGTTGCAATGCAGTAGGCAAGCTAGGATGGATAGCATTATGGTACAGATACTTACTGTCCATCCTCCGTCGTCAGTGTCCATGTCACAGTATACATCTTGTCCCGAAGTTCCAGCAGCCTCGTGGAAGATGGTGTACACTCCGCTTATGTGTTGGCCGTTGTCAAGCAAGTCCGCGCAATGTCGAGGCACGAAGGCATCTAAGGAGCACGATGGGCACGAAGTGTCTTTACATTTACTCACATACCTTTAAGGACACATAGTTTTTCGAATTACGTAGATGCCAATGCATTCGTGCTTCCGTACGCCATAGTGGGGCACATGCTTAGAGCCTCGATTGTAAAAAGGCATTGTTGCTGTAGTCCTAAAATTGATGCAACCTTATAGACAGAGACTCAACCTTAATAACATGTCGTTATGTTCACTTCCCGAACAACGTCAAAAAAACATTAGGCTAAATCGTACTTGTACATTGTTGTAGTCTTCCGCACTTTGGTGCTTAGTTTCAGCCTCTTTTGTGAAACATCGCGGTTGACTCGGTGACGACATGCCCGTTTCCGCATCACATATCACTGACCCTCACATTGGGCGTGTTTTTTCATCAAGAGAATGAGAAAGATTCGACATCCTGTAAACGTTAGATCTTGTCCATTGACAATGATGTGCTGTTGATTACATATGCAATTTCACGCCTAATTTACAACCACAAAGAGAAAGAATCACAAATAGACACCATGGGCGCTCGAGCTTTGTCAAGACGCACTTAGAAAAAGCATGAACTTGATTTCCAATTCTGCACTGGCATATGACTCTACATATCGGCACAGCGATGAGCACACGACGTTTTGCCTAAATTGGTCAAATACGGCTCGTGACTCTCTAAATCTATATTTCTTCTCATACTCAGTGCTCTCCAGCCTGTGTGAACAACACAGGCGCTGCTTCGGTGCTTTGCACCACGCCCTTCTACTCATGCTGCGCGAAGGACCAAACTGAAACTGCAGAAAAAGATTCGCAGACAGTTCACTAACGCAGTCCAATACGAAGCGTGTACTTCCCATAATTACCCTGGAAGTACACGATTGCAGCGCCAGGTTCTTTTCCAGCTATTGTACGAAACTCTATGACCGACACCATCATATGTTAGCTGAGAAAGCGTAAGTGGGAGAGGCCACAGCCATTTACGCAGGCCGAAACGCGCTCGCGCGTTCCGACTAGAATACAACGCGTTGGTTCATCACACGTCTGCAGAATCTCGTTCCCCAAAGCCATCACGTTACTGCTGAGAGATTGTCAGGGGGAGGTCTGGGCATCTTACCCAGCCCCTTAAACAGGCAGGAAGCGTTAGCGCATGAGTGCGTTTTGGCTTTGCTTGGGCCAGACTTTGCGCACGTGCAGTAAGGGTGAATGCACCTACTGCATTGAGCTTCGCCATAAGCTGCTTCGCATCTAATAAAACCAGTTAGCAGGGAATGCACGAAATTAGATATACATGTCACCGTTATAAAACAGAAGCACGACTAAGAAGGTATAGAATAATGTTACCTTGAAGATGAGCCTCGAAGTCCTTCGCTAACTGCTGTATGCGATCTTGAATATTCTTACTAGAAACTCTAGCTTTCGGTGCCGACAGTGCGGTTCTTGCCACGGCAGCGATCATGCAGACAATAAAAATTCCACGTGCCATAGCGTGCCGTCACCGATACCTGTATGGTGGGAAAAACGTATTTTTGTTGTAAAATCTGCTGCTAATTTGAACACACGAAGAAAATGTTCTGTATTGTTTTCCTTGTATTGACCTGTAATGTTGCCATGACAGTGTTAGATGACCATCAAACTGCTATCTTGCATTTATAAAAGATTGACTGCTTATGGGAAAGCAGGCACTTCGTTCTTATCACATATTTGCTTACCACTAGTGTTGTGTGGTCACTGTGGCTGAACGCTTAATAAAACGTAATTTTAGTCGGTGGGAGGGTGAACATAGTCGCAGAAAGTGATTATAGAGACGAGAAGCGGGCCCACTCCCAGAATGATATGACGGGGTAAAGAAAGTGTGAAGTAGTAGGAAGCTGCTTTTAGGGCAGCCAGTAAGCTAAAGGTAACACGTATGACGTTGTATGGCATGGTAAACTTTAAAGAATAAGCCCGCAGCAGAGAAATCCGAGTCCGATATTCTTTTCATGGGACGAAACGTTCATTTCATAAAACATCAGGGTCTATTTGCAAAGTATTTCCGAGACCTGGCGTGGATCTGTGGTAGAAAACGTTATTGCCACGCAGATTGCTAGGGTTTGATTCCTGCTGGGATAATGACTTTTGTTTTTTGTATTTATTTTCTCAACACTCCATATGTCAGCTTTCCTTGACGCTCAAGCGTTAAAATGACCGTTGTGTGTTCTTGGCGTTCCTGGGTACATAAAGAGATGTCTACATCCTGCGGCTCAAATCTGCATACCATTGACACATACCCAGCCCCGAGTATATGCCACTGTTTTTTTCTTTATTCGGAAAGTGTTTGATGACGTACGTGACGAGGTGGTGACTTTATTAACGCCAAAGCGTTAAAGAGTTCGTTTCGCAGATATTCCGGCGTCGGCGTCAGTTGTTGTAAGTGCAAATCAGCATCTTATGCGTGACCAAAACATTGAGGACGATGCAAATAAAATATAATAATCAAATCCTGGGTGAGAGTGGGGAATAAAGGAGGTTGGTTTGCATAGTAAGCTGACGTTCTACCACTTGGCCACACATCTGCTTGTATATACCGTGAAAAAAAACTGCCTCTGCTTAGAAATGCACTAAAAGTAGGTTTCATGCTTCACACTGAAAGTGACTTGGTAGATGTTTGCCTAACGTTCAATTTATTCCAAGTGATAACATTCCCTACACGAACAACCCATAATTCAACAAGCCTGCTAAATTTACTCCTAACGTCCGACCCTGATAAAATTTCATCGGTTTCTAATCTAATCAGCCTAACTGATCACTCAGTCATTCATGCCAGTTTCCTATACAACTTGCCGACACCCCCATATTAAGAAAAGAATAACACTATTCAACAAAGCTGATTATGAAAGTATGAATAATGAACTTTTTTCTTTTTACGATTGGTTTCTTATAGATTATCGGAAACGGTCTGTTGACGAATACTGGGAGCTTTTCAAAGAGAAATGCAACAATTAATAAACACCTATATTCCTACCATCACGATTACAGAACGTCCTTCTCCGTGGTACAAAAACTCTCTAAAACGCCTTAACAACAAAAAGAAGAGACATTTCCGCTCGGCTAAGGGATTCAATTCTGAGCAAGCATGGGATAAATATTGTAATTCTGAAAAGCTTTACGAATCTATAATTTGAAATGCTGAGCGAACGTTCTTCTCGTCTACCCTCGCAGACACTGTACGCACTAACCCCAAACAGTTCTGGAAGGCCATTAACCCAACTCATGTGCAACCTATTTCGTTATGCAATCCACAAAATATTACAATTCCTGAGTCCTATGTCGCAGAAACACTAGATTATACATTTCGGTCTGCCTTTACCGATGAACCTGAAGATATACTTCCTTGTGCTTCCACTCATTTTTTCCCTGTTATGCCTACCGTCATCTTCGAAGCTCACGGTATCATTTAAGTGATCTAGTCATTAAAAGTGACGTCATCAGCTGGAACTGACTACATAAATTCTAAGGTTCTTATAAACACTAAACATGTTTTTGCTGTTATACTGTCTCATAATTTTCAGCAATCACTGTCATCTGAAGTGGTGCCACGAGACTGGAAGGTCGGCAAGATCATTCCAATTCCCAAGAAAGGTCCGTCATCCTCTCCTTCCAGCTACCGTCCAATATCACAACCATGCATAAGCTGTAAGCTTATGGAACATATTATCTACTCTTAAACCATGAAATTTCTTTCGTCTGTAAATTCTTTTACCCCTGTCAGCACGCTTTTCAGAAAGGCCTCTCATGTGACACCCAACTCCTGCTTTTTATTAACGATATCAGCACGTGTCTTGATCATAATATTCCTGTTGACGCTCTCTTTCTAGATTTTGAAAAAGCATTTGATAAGGTACCCCATAAGCGCCTCTTTCTAAAACTTTTGCGCTTAAACCTTGACCCTGCCGTTTTAAACTGGATCCAAAATTTTCTTTCAAACCGTGAACAGTTTGTTTGTGCCAACCAGGTATCATCATCCTGTCGTCAAGTAGTCTCAGGTGTGCCCCAGGGTACAGTCCTCGGTCCCCTCCTGTCCTTAATTTATATAAACGACCTCCCTAATAATATCTCGTCAAGTATCCCTTTAGTCGCAGATGACTGTGTCATATATCGCCCTAATAATGACCTTAATGACTCCTGCATTCTCCAAAACGATCTATTAACAATTGAAACGTGGTGCAAAACTTGGCTAATGACTCTAAACGTTAACAAAACATCTGTCGTTTCTTTACACCGTAGGAAACATTACCTGGCTTCAACATACTTTATTTTCAGCTCTAAATTGTCCCCCGTGGACTCCTATAGGTATTTAGGTATACACATAACTCCCGATCATAACTGGACACCCCACGTAATGATCATCTGTAATGAAGCAAATAAAGCTCTTGGCTACCTCAGACGAAACTTACGCTCGTCCCTCCTCCTGTAAAACGTTTAGCCTATCTAACATTAGTACGCCCGAAACTCGAGTACGCTTGCGCCATCTGGGACCCGCACCAATCTAATCTATCTAAAATGTGGGAAGCTATTCAGAATAGGGCAGCAAGGTTAATTTACTCTGAATATTTATATCACTCAAGTATCACTAATCTGAAAGACCAAGCCCAACGTCAGAATCTATAATTGCGATGCAAGGCCACTAGACTAATTCTTTTTCACAAATTCTTTCATTCAGTGTCTGACGCATCCGGTATCTTGCCCGCACATCGAATCTCTTCTCGTACTAGCCACTGCAACACTGTTTATCTTGCGCATACCCGCACAACTGCCCACCTTCGCTCGTTCTTTGTTCAAACAGCGAAGAATTGGAATGATCTTCCACCCGACGTCGTGCACTACACAAGACCAGTTCAAATCAAAACCCACAGAAATTCGTACCACAGCCCACCCCTCATGTAACACACCGCTGGGGCATTTGAAGTATAATAAATAAACAAACAAGTAAAGCAAATAAATAAATAAATAAATAAATAAATAAATAAATAAATAAATAAATGAACAAATAAATAAATAAATAAATAAACAAAATGAACACATGTGTCCTGTATACATGCTTCACGATTCAGCATGAAATATTGCAATAATAATGCGTTTCATAAGTGCCCATTGCAAGCGGGCGTCATGTCATGTAAGTATTATAATGACTTCGTGGTTTATGGGTGGTAACCCACTACATTAGGCACACACGCTACTGCAGCTGCTCCCTTAAGGCCACGTAGTCGGTGCATAGCAAGTTCGAAAAGGTTTCGTGCACAAAGTGTTTGAAGTATGTCCTAGGACAGGATATCGCTATCGCTTTCAACTCCCAGAGGCGAAGCTTTGTGGTTCGCTAATCTTTTTTATGTCGTAACCAACGCGTCATATTTTTGTTACCTTCTTATCCTCCGTGCTAATTGTGGTGTATCCTAAGTTAAGAGGGTTATCATGAGTGCACCCTCACGTAGGCGGCTAGGTAGATAGATAGATAGATAGATAGATAGATAGATAGATAGATAGATAGATAGATAGATTCCAAAAGTACTTGCAGTACGCAAAGTAATGCTACGCATTTAACCGAAATTTGGCTGCAGCAAGCAAAATCGTTAACTGAATGAATTTTATTAAATACCTTGATGTCATTGGCATATAATAATAATAATAATAATAATAATAATAATAATAATAATAATAATAATAATAATAATAATAATAATAATAACAATAATAATAATAATAATAATACTCTAAATTATTATTATATATTATTATTATTAATTATTATTATTATTATTATTATTATTATTATTATTATTATTATTATTATTATTATTATTATTATTATTTAAAGGTTAACACCCCAAAACCACCAATGATTTTAAGAGACGCCGTAGGGGAGCGCTCCAGAGATTTCGACCACCTGTGGTTTCTTAACGTGATCCTAAATAGAATCTCGACACATCCCAGTTACCGGGGTATTTCTTTCAAGGACTCCTCCGATCAGAAAAGAAAGTAAATACTACCGACAAGCATCTCCGCAAGGACGAGTCCTCCGAACGAAAGGACTCCGTGCAGAGAAGAAATGCGCAGATAATATCACAGGCTTGTACGGTGCTGAAAAGGCTCCGCCTTCTAGCTGACACAAGGAGCGTCCCGCTTTATGTAGTGCAGTGTCTTCGTGGTATAACTACGGGTCACGAGCCATTCCACAGCTTTTACTTATATTGACCGTATCGACCAATATATGCCTGTGCTGTAATAGCGGTGCCGTCATATAGACGACTACACATACATATACACCGCACACACGACTTCTCTCTTGAATGAAAGCCCTATACGCAGATTGAGGGATCGTTTCCACATGAAGCCAAAAGATAAACAAGTGAAAGATAGCACATGGGGAATTTTTCAAGATTGTTTTGTCTTGCGAAAATAAACAAATGAAGGAGTTGTTGCCATTGCTTTGCGTGGGAATCGATTAGCAGCACTGTTGAAATAAATTATATGTAAAAGGAACGAGAAAACACGTTGTTGTCTTGGCGTAATGAGGCCGAAGTATTGACGTCCGGCTGTTTTGTTTTGCTCCGCATATCACCCGGACGGGCGTTTAAGCACATAACATACATACAAAGCACTGCTGTTAGCGTAATTATCAGGGGCAAAATTACATATAACTGAGCGAATTGCCAACGGGAACTGTTGGCAATTCACCTTTCATATAGAAGAGAGTCACCTTTCATATAGAAGAGAGGTGACCACCACACACAAATTTGGCCGATTAATAGACTTCGGAGAAGTCTATTGATCGGCCAAATGACGCATCTAATAAATGAGGGACCCAATCACGAGACGGAAAGGTGAATGAGATGATGTGAGCAATGCGAGAGTTCAAGGTTGATTACGCACTATGCCGCAATGTGTTTTTTCATTCCTTTTGAATTACAGTTATCTCATAGGTGCTGCACGTAGATTCTCTCTGGAAGCGAATGCTACAACTTCATTTGATTGTCATAAGAAAAAATAAATATGATGTTCCTTGTACTTTCTTTCGCTTCTTTATTTCTTGGTTCACATGATTGTCTCGCACGAATATGGGACTCTTGATTAAGTTCACTCTAATTCAGGAGATGTGTCGAGAGTTCGGCTCATGTGAAACCATAGTCACGTTATGTGGCGGGGCCACTACATTTGCGCAGGCACTGGGCAACCTTGTTACGTGATCGGATTGTGTGGGATGAGTTGTGACCCGCCATCGTACCACATATATCTTGTGTAACAGAAACAGCAGCCCTGCTCATGTAAGCTAGAAAGTGGTGCCTTTTACACACCGTACAAGTTGACGCGATTTTCAGCGGGATTATCGCGGCTGATATCTCCGCGCAGCGTCCTCTCTGTGAGAGGTTTCGTCCAATGTATGGTGCTTATCGATTGCATTTGCGTTTATTTTCCGTACGGAGGACTCCTTAACAGCGATGCGCCGGTAAAACTGTGAGGTATACAGATAACGTACTGACAGGCCAACAGTTAGCGTTCCGCGGTAAGACGTTGAATTTTCATATCGGGTTTATTGTTGACAGCCGTAGTACACGCATAAACTTATTCCCACAGAATATGAAGGACAAGGAGACCTCAGTGAAAATTAGGTTGAGAAGAGCCTCCACCCCCCCCCCCCCAAAAAAAAAGGTGCATGCTTGGAGTACAAAGGGGGTGGTATGAGATCTCAGGCAGGAAGATATGATGAAAGCAAACAAGCGTAACAGAACCACCACTTCGCAAGTAATAGCAGAGTAAGTGTTGGGAAAACAGCTGTGTAATGTAAAGAAGAACACATTTACACCTCGTTACTTCATATAGGAAGATTTGCATTTCCATGAGTTTAAATGTGAAACGTGCGAGTTGGCGAAACTATAATAAGCGAACTTATCTTAGAAGCAAGAAAAAAATTCACTTTTTAATTACAAAACAGCAGTGCTCAGAGTATATTAGAACAACCCGAGAGTAATGTAGCACATCTTCGACTAGAAGAGAGCAATTGCACCATTACATTAGCGTTCGTCATGCTGTTTGAAGCTGTATGGCGCAATTAGATGAAGAATGAATGATAAATGGAGTTAAAAAAATAAACTATGCTATTTTTCTACTTTAGACACGGACAAGGAAACACTGAAAAAGAGGCGTTGTCTAGCAGGCTTTTTTGTGTGTGTCCTTGTCGTGAATTCTAGCCCATGCATAAAGCACCGCCGTTTCTTCAGATGTATCCAAACAAATGCACGTGCCTCGAAGCACTTCTCAATGAATGCTGAAGTTGGAGTAGTAAAACAAGATTTATTTAGAAATCAACTACGTGCTCGTTGATAAAGCCATGCTCTGAGATAGTCATGCACTTTGAAAAGACTGAAAACACGCGAAACTATATAGTGTAGAACTGATGACAAATGAGTCATCCGAATAAACAAGCGGAAAAATGTAAACATGTGAATGGTAGAGGAGGAAGTAGCGAAACCAAATTAAATGAAAAATAACATTATTTGGTCCTACAAAAGGCGATAGAGAAGCGCATCTGGCTCAGTACTACGCAGGAAGAAGGAAGTCGGTTTAAAGCACTTGAACGAAAGCGTGCCCTGAGGCTGGAGCACTGGGTTTGCAATGTGACCATTTATAAATGATTTTACATGTTGGTTCGGCAATATTTATCGATCAATTAGGAGGAAGAACAAACAATATCAAGTTGGTGGTCTCCTGGGTGGTTTTCGTGCTTTAAATAAATCGAAATATTTCTGATGGCTGTGAGCAAGAACCATTACCTAAGTAGACATTAGCCTGTAGCGTCATGACAGCAAGTTATACGAGGAAAGAAGCTCTGGCACGGTGAATGCTAAGTCACCGATGAAGTAATGAACACCTTAATGAGGAAGCAATTCAACAAGCAGCAACGAATCAGCAAACTCCCGCATAATTCCTGTCAACGAAGTGACCTAATGTGCAGCTGAAAGCACATGCCTGTTTTCCGAAAGAAAAAGTGATGATCGAACAACGTTGACTTACCGGAGTGCTTGTATACAGTGATGAACCGACGGGTTCTAATGATTCAGTTAGACTGCATGTGGTACCGAAGCAAAAGCCTCTATATATTGACTTGTAAGGATGATATCTTAATGTCTAAACAGCATATGACAATGCCTCACAGGGAGATAAGAGGAGCGATGAACTTCAGCACTTCACTTTCAATGAATGGCGTAAAACCAGTAATCAGGAAGACAATGGGTGGTTGACTCTGAATTACTTTCACGTATTTTGATAAAACTTTGAAAGAGTTGCACATTTATAGTTTCAGAACGAAGACGATATCAGTCATCAATGCTTTGCGGAAGAACAATAAACGCTAAAGGGAGGGCTGCAGTCAGCACTTCATGCTTTAACTGAGCGTTTCTGATGAGCATGCTAAAGTTAAATCATATTGTTTAAAAAAACAACGCCACGTATTGTTCAAGTGTTTTGGACCGTTTCAGCACTACGCTATTGTTCATATTTTTAACCTATTTTTGGTGAACTGGGGCTTGACAAGAGTTGGCAGTACTCACGGGAAAGAATATAAGCATGATGCCTTTGAGCTGTGCAGAAAATAAATAATGAAAGAGAATTCGCACTTATCTCTCAGGAAATGCAAGGCTGCAGTTAACTCGTCATGCCCTCACTGAGCGTTTCTGACGGGCATTAGGAAAAAAAAAAGCCAGCGAACTATTTCAGGAAACAACTTCACGTATTGTTTCAGAAAACAACGTCACATATTGTTCAGGAGTGCTGAATAGCAGCCTGGAATATCATGATCGTTTGCACCCGGAGTGCTTCAGAAGAACGCTATGGATCATATTCTTTAACCTATTGTTTATTAACCGAAGCTTCGCATTATTTAGCAAATAACACGAGCATGGAAATACGCCTAATACCTTGAAAGTCTGCCCAGAATCAAGACATCGGGAGCTTTCATAGCTATCTATTATAAAAGGCTTTTTGTGAATTCCAAGATTCAGTATTTCACTGATCAGTAAGTTCAGTAGCCAATATCCAATTGAGTCGTTACTGGGTGCCCTTGCACACCCAACCAGAGAGCATACCCAGACGTAATAATAATATTTACGTCTAAAATTATAGTTTCCACTTAACCCACTTCTTTACCAGAAAGTATAAGTGAGGTGAAGAATTAGATCTTTACAACCTTACAAAATACGAAAAAAAAATGCTAAAGGCAAAGACCAGCTCAATAGCCTCTTCCAGAAGTGAGAAGGCTCAGAAACTTCACAGGAACTTTGGCACAACGAAATTTGGTAAAACTAAGCAATTTCACCATCAGCAAAGTGAAGTGTAGTGACTGGCTAAAGGAACAAAACTAAGACTTTACTGGCAGTCAATAATGTCTTAAGCAAATTTCGATCGTGGGAAGAATAAAAAACCTATTTAATCCCACTGAATGATGATGATGATATAGAGGTTTTAAAAGCGCAAGAGCCATATTTCGCAATAGAGCACCATGAACAATTATGGACAGCGATGGTAGCCAGTAAAAAAAGTTTCGCCCTTATTTATACGTCCAGAATTTCACATTTGGGACGGATTATCATGCTCTGTGTCTGTGTTGGTTATAGTCTCTCGAAAATTTGTCGGGACGCCTTGGCCGCTGGGTGCGCACACACACACACACACACACACACACACACACACACACACACACACACACACACACACACACACACACACACACACACACACACACACACACACACACACACACACACACACACACACACACACACACACACACACACACACACACACACACACACACACACACACACACACACTCGTTGTTTGGCTAATAGATGGCGCTGACTGTCGCTCCTACTTCTAAATTCACAGATAAACCCAAAAAAGTGGATGGAGGGAGTGCCGCTGTAATAGCTCAGTGGTTAGAGCATCGAACGCGTAATTCGAAGGTCGTAGGTTCGATTCCTGCTTACAGTTGGTAATTTTTTCATCCACTTTTCTTTCTTCTTATTTACATTCCATTAATGTTAATAACTTCCCCTGTACATTCCTTGGCATTACTGTCTGTTATATCTCATTATTATTGTGTTAAAAACACGGAAAAACGAGCCCTTAGGTATACACTTCTTTCCCTTATTTCATTGAACGAGGGTCTCGTACTGGCAGACTTGGTGTGTTTAGGTTGTATAAGAGGGACAATTAATCAGCTGCCCGCTCATAATAAGTTCACGTGCTACGTGACGCCAAACATGCGCATAAGAGTGTTTTCACACTCGTTGTTTGGCTTATAGATGGCGCTGACTGTCGCTCCTACTTCTAAATTCACAGATAAACCCAAAAAAGTGGATGGAGGGAGTGCCGCTGTAATAGCTCAGTGGTTAGAGCATCGAACGCGTAATTCGAAGGTCGTAGGTTCGATTCCTGCTTACAGTTGGTAATTTTTTCATCCACTTTTCTTTCTTCTTATTTACATTCCATTAATGTTAATAACTTCCCCTGTACATTCCTTGGCATTACTGTCTGTTATATCTCATTATTATTGTGTTAAAAACACGGAAAAACGAGCCCTTAGGTATACACTTCTTTCCCTTATTTCATTGAACGAGGGTCTCGTACTGGCAGACTTGGTGTGTTTAGGTTGTATAAGAGGGACAATTAATCAGCTGCCCGCTCATAATAAGTTCACGTGCTACGTGACGCCAAACATGCGCATAAGAGTGTTTTCACACTCGTTGTTTGGCTTATAGATGGCGCTGACTGTCGCTCCTACTTCTAAATTCACAGATAAACCCAAAAAAGTGGATGGAGGGAGTGCCGCTGTAATAGCTCAGTGGTTAGAGCATCGAACGCGTAATTCGAAGGTCGTAGGTTCGATTCCTGCTTACAGTTGGTAATTTTTTCATCCACTTTTCTTTCTTCTTATTTACATTCCATTAATGTTAATAACTTCCCCTGCATTCCTTGGCATTACTGTCTGTTATATCTCATTATTATTGTGTTAAAAACACGGAAAAACGAGCCCTTAGGTATACACTTCTTTCCCTTATTTCATTGAACGAGGGTCTCGTACTGGCAGACTTGGTGTGTTTAGGTTGTATAAGAGGGACAATTAATCAGCTGCCCGCTCATAATAAGTTCACGTGCTACGTGACGCCAAACATGCGCATAAGAGTGTTTTCACACTCGTTGTTTGGCTTATAGATGGCGCTGACTGTCGCTCCTACTTCTAAATTCACAGATAAACCCAAAAAAGTGGATGGAGGGAGTGCCGCTGTAATAGCTCAGTGGTTAGAGCATCGAACGCGTAATTCGAAGGTCGTAGGTTCGAATTCCAATTGAGTCGTTACTGGGTGCCCTTGCACACCCAACCAGAGAGCATACCCAGACGTAATAATAATATTTACGTCTAAAATTATAGTTTCCACTTAACCCACTTCTTTACCAGAAAGTATAAGTGAGGTGAAGAATTAGATCTTTACAACCTTACAAAATACGAAAAAAAAATGCTAAAGGCAAAGACCAGCTCAATAGCCTCTTCCAGAAGTGAGAAGGCTCAGAAACTTCACAGGAACTTTGGCACAACGAAATTTGGTAAAACTAAGCAATTTCACCATCAGCAAAGTGAAGTGTAGTGACTGGCTAAAGGAACAAAACTAAGACTTTACTGGCAGTCAATAATGTCTTAAGCAAATTTCGATCGTGGGAAGAATAAAAAACCTATTTAATCCCACTGAATGATGATGATGATATAGAGGTTTTAAAAGCGCAAGAGCCATATTTCGCAATAGAGCACCATGAACAATTATGGACAGCGATGGTAGCCAGTAAAAAAGTTTCGCCCTTATTTATACGTCCAGAATTTCACATTTGGGACGGATTATCATGCTCTGTGTCTGTGTTGGTTATAGTCTCTCGAAAATTTGTCGGGACGCCTTGGCCGCTGGGTGCGCACACACACACACACACACCACCACACACACCACACACACACACACACACACACACACCACACACACCACACACACACAACAACACACACCACACAACACACACCACACACACACACACACACCACACACACCACACACACACACACCACACACACACAACACACACACACAACACACACACACTCGTTGTTTGGCTAATAGATGGCGCTGACTGTCGCTCCTACTTCTAAATTCACAGATAAACCCAAAAAAGTGGATGGAGGAGTGCCGCTGTAATAGCTCAGTGGTTAGAGCATCGAACGCGTAATTCGAAGGTCGTAGGTTCGATTCCTGCTTACAGTTGGTAATTTTTTCATCCACTTTTCTTTCTTCTTATTTACATTCCATTAATGTTAATAACTTCCCCTGTACATTCCTTGGCATTACTGTCTGTTATATCTCATTATTATTGTGTTAAAAACACGGAAAAACGAGCCCTTAGGTATACACTTCTTTCCCTTATTTCATTGAACGAGGGTCTCGTACTGGCAGACTTGGTGTGTTTAGGTTGTATAAGAGGGACAATTAATCAGCTGCCCGCTCATAATAAGTTCACGTGCTACGTGACGCCAAACATGCGCATAAGAGTGTTTTCACACTCGTTGTTTGGCTTATAGATGGCGCTGACTGTCGCTCCTACTTCTAAATTCACAGATAAACCCAAAAAAGTGGATGGAGGGAGTGCCGCTGTAATAGCTCAGTGGTTAGAGCATCGAACGCGTAATTCGAAGGTCGTAGGTTCGATTCCTGCTTACAGTTGGTAATTTTTTCATCCACTTTTCTTTCTTCTTATTTACATTCCATTAATGTTAATAACTTCCCCTGTACATTCCTTGGCATTACTGTCTGTTATATCTCATTATTATTGTGTTAAAAACACGGAAAAACGAGCCCTTAGGTATACACTTCTTTCCCTTATTTCATTGAACGAGGGTCTCGTACTGGCAGACTTGGTGTGTTTAGGTTGTATAAGAGGGACAATTAATCAGCTGCCCGCTCATAATAAGTTCACGTGCTACGTGACGCCAAACATGCGCATAAGAGTGTTTTCACACTCGTTGTTTGGCTTATAGATGGCGCTGACTGTCGCTCCTACT